ATACCAAAGAGCACACTGAAAAATGAAACATTGAAGTTTTCTTTATTTGGAATAAATTTGAAAGTTGGTCAAATAAATTTTTAGACAGACATTAATGCTGAAGTAATTTACCTGAATTCTGTCTTCCAATATTTTTGACTACTGACAAAAGTAAAGGACACTTCATTCATTTAAAGTGGACTGATTTGTGGGTCACCATGACCTCTGAGAGGAATATTGTCAATTGAGACAAATTGTGCATTTTGGAGGTTATATTAGTGTGAGCTAAACATAAAATTACAATACTTACGCAAATAAATCTTTAAAAGGGAACCAAGAATTTAGTCTTTAAATTTTATTTTCCTATGAAAAAGATTACATTTTGGCATGAAGCATTAGACTGCTATTGACAGTCTATTACTTACTCTTAAACCAGTATTAAACTAAATGCACCAGAGTTATCACTTGTATTTAAATTTCTGAGTGTCTGTTATTTCAAAGAATAAAAAAAGGGAAAAATAAAGTTAAAAGTTTTTATATAGAAAAGTAATTATCATAAAGATTATATACCTAAACCAAAATTGAAATCGTTCAAGGTTGATTTAAAAGAAAAAAATCAAAATGTAAAAATATGAACATTTAGTTAGCTTTGGAAATGAATCAATTGCATTAGAATTACAGTGTATTATAACCTAAAGGGGTCTCTCCAAGGACTATCAATACAGTATATTTTGGTCCAACATATCTGTTGCCTACGTATGAACACTTTACTCATCAGGGCTAAGTGGCATGTCAGAGTCATCTGGCTAGTTTTTGTGGGGTCATCATCTTCTAATTTTTGGCCTAGAATGCTTTCAATTAATATACCACATTATTAGGAGCAGAGGCTGGAAGACACAACAGAAAGATAGATAGCTTAAAATGGAGAAAGATAAGTTTATTCTAAAAGTAACAGGTATGGGAATATAAAATATAAATATAAAATATTCCAACAACTTTAAAAATATATCTATAAGAAAACACAATGATGATATAGTATTCAGCATAAGTTTAAAATTTCAGGGTATAAAAAAATATATTTCTCCAAACTCATTTTACTAGGCCACCATGACCCTGATACCAAGAAAAGGATATTACATGAAAATAAAATAATGGGCCAATATCGCTAATGAACACAGATACAAAAATCCTCAATAAAATACTAGCAAACCTAGGGATTTATTCCAGGATGCAAGGATGGTTCAACATCCATAAATCAATGTTCTCTACCACATTAACAAAATGAAAGATTAAAAAAAGTACTTTTTGCAGAAAAAGTACTTTTCACAATGCAATATCCATTTATAATAAAAATTCTCATCAAAGTGGTTATAAAGAAAATATACCTCAACACAATAAGAGACATACATGACAAGCCCACAACTAGCATCACACTCAATGGTAAAACGCTGAAAGCTTTCCTCTGCAATCAGGAACAACACAAGAATGCTCGCTCTTGCCATTCTTATTCAACATATAATTGAAAACCCTAGTCAGAGTAATTAGGCGAGGAAAATAAATAAAATGTCCAAATTGGAAAGGAAGGAGTATAACTATCACTACATGCAGATGACATAACATTATATATAAAAAACCCTAATGACTCCCAAAAAAAAACTATTAGACCAATCTCACTTATGAATATATGTAAACTTATAAATAAAATATAACCAAGAATAATATATAAAAAAGTAAATGATGTAAGATTCATCCCATGAAAGCAAAGGTGCTTCAATATCAGAAAATGTAGTAATACCAATCCATTTTACCAGTTGGTTAAAGGGGAAAAAAATATTACTATACCAATAGATGCTGAAAAGGCATTAAACAAAATCCAAAAGCATCTTCAGTAAAACATCCAAGTAAAATTGGAATAGAAGGAAAATATTTAATTTAAAAAGTAAATGTTTACTAAAAACTAAACATCAAATATAATTCCAAGTGACAAAACATCATATTATTTTAATTAAAATCAGAACGTAGACATGGAGGCTCACGGTAACAATTATTATTTAACACAATCTCAAGAGATTCAAATCAACTTAATTAAAATATAAACAAGACAATTAAATAACAGATATAAACATTAGGGAAGAATGGATAAACTCCTTTTGGAAGGTATGGGAGCTAGTGATATAATTGTATAAGTAGAAAATCCTAGACACTAATAAAAAACTACTAGAATTAATATGAGAATTTTGTGAAGTTGATGAGTAAAAAACAAATGCACAAAAAGCAATAGCTTTTCTCTGTCCTATTAACAAAGAAAGAAAAATGAAAGAAAACAGTTCATTCACAGGTGCTGCAAAATGACAGTCATAAATTATAACAAGAATGGCAAACATGTTTTAAATTAAACTGTAAAATGCATTAAAGAACATAAAGCACAACATTTAAAGAAATAAAAAGGCACATATTATTCTTCAATGAGAAGACTTTCATAATATTAAGAAGACTTAATATCACTAAAAATGTCAATTCTCCAAAAGTTAGTATATAAATATAATGCAATTCCTATTGAATCCCTATTGAAAAATAAATAAAATTACCTTAAAGTCTTTGTGAAAAAAATAACTGCCCATAAATATGTAAGAAAAGTATAAAGACTAGAAGAGAAAAACTTTACTAGGTATATATCAGAGCCTTTGGATTAGAGGAAAACAAAGAATCATTAAGTTCCAATAGAAGAATATCTCCAAATATATATTTAAAAAGTAAGAAAAATGGAGAGAGAAAAGACTTAACCAGCTATGAGAATTCATTATACTCAAATGAATATGATATTAATTACATCAAATAAATTAGTGGAACAGAAGTAAAAACACAGTAATATATGCTAGTACATATGAACTTTTAATGTTTGACAGGTAGCAGTTTTATTTAGTGGAAAAAGGGTAATTATTTAATACATAATACCAATACAACTATCAACATGAAAAGAGTAAAACTGAACCCCCATATCTCATATTATATAAAAAATAAATTCCATATATACTAATGACTTAAATGAAAGAAAATCCAGAAGACTACATGTACAATCTAGGAAAGAGAAGGACTGTTTTAACTAAGACTAACCAGAAACAATGTAGGATATTAATTTGATCATACCAAAATAAAGAAACTTTAATATGGTGAAATTTACCATAAAAGTCAGTGACAAATTGTACATTTGAAAAAAGTTAGCGCAGAAAATGAATAATTACTATACTGTACAAACTGCTCTTTTTTTTTTTTTTGTATCCTCACCGGAGGACATCCTTCCATTTTTTATTCAGATAGAGTGGGAGGGAGAGAGAGGAAGAGAGAGAGAGAAACATCGACGTGAAAGGGGCACATCAAGTGGCTGCCACCCACACGACCCAACCAGGGCTGGGGACAAACTGCAACTGAAGTACATGCCTCCAGCAGGAACCGAACTGGGTCTCTCTGGACCACTGGCCAACGCTCCAACTGCTGAGCCAAACCGGCCAGGGCTACAAACTGCTCTTAAAAATTATCAAGGAAACTTCCAATAATGCAATTGAAAATTGGCAAAATCTATGAAAAGCTAATTCAAAGAAGAGAACATTAAGATACATTATTTTTAAATTTATAACTGGTATCATATTGCTTCTGGACTCATATGATGACTTTTTTTTTTATCAGACAGAGTGGGAGGGAGAGAGAGGGAGCGAGGGAGGGAGGGGGAGAGAGAGAGAGAGAGAGAGAGAGAGAGAGAGAGAGAAACATTGATATGAAAGGGACACATAGAGTGATAGAGTGGCTGCCACCCGCACGACCAACCAGGGCCAGGGACAAACTGCAACTGAGGTACGCGCCCTTAGCGGGAACTGAACCCAGATCTCTCTGGACTGCAGGCTGACACTCTAACTGCTGAGCCAAACCGGCCAGGGCTGATGACTCTTCTAACACCAGTTTCTCTCTAGACATCCCTAGTCTGTGGTATGCTTTTATCAAAGATCCCAAGCAAAGAGGTTCAGAGCCCTCTGCAACTTCTCTCCCTTCTACTCAGCCAGGTGTTCACCTCCTTAGTCCTAGGTAGCCTCTCAACCCTGATCCTATCTTAGCCTTTCTACTGTGGCCATGGAGAGAGCCAAGGAGATGAACAGGAGCTTTGGTTTGCTTTCACTCCCTGCCATGTATCAGCTAGGTGGGGACAGGCATGTTACCTTTCTGGGCCTTGATTATCTCTTCTGTAAGATGGGATACTTACACATGCTTTCCATGGTCACTGTGAGAACTGACAGAAATAACTTACATCAGTGCTAGCATGCTGCCTAATACACTTTAAGACCTTAAAAATGTTAGTTCCAGTCCCTACTTCCGTTTCTTATGGTTAGTCTAGGGGCTGGGTTAGCAGTAAAAATATTTTCTAAATATCTGACTCCAATCACCTGATGTTTGGAACACCTCCATTCATTGCTAACAGCTTAATTTTGCTAAAATGCTGCTTTTATTATATCATTCTCATGATTATCAATGTTCAGTGATTCCAGACTGCCTTCAGGAATAAATGCATACTCCAGAGACTTACTGCCAAGATAGTCATTCCTCCGAGGCAGAGAGAAACAAGGTGCCCCAAACACAATCTTAATCTTTTCATTTGGGAAAATGAAGGCCCGCCTAAAAACTTGAATTCACTTTATAAACAGCATATGCTGTATTTTCCCTCAGTGCGCTAAACTACCAATCCACTGATGACATACTAAAGTAAATTTACTGTTTTCCTTAAATTTTATTTTGTACTTAAAACATCTACAATATCTGCACTTGCCTTACCACTCTAAATGGCAGTACAGGAAGGGATGATAGGGAACATTGATCACGGACAGTTACTGATATAGTTACTAATAACTAGGCATATTTGCAATACCAGATAATCAAAATAAGATTTTTGTTGTGATTTTAAGAGAAATAAAAATTTAGACATTTATTATCACTCGTTGCTAACAACCGCAAACAACAAACAAAAAATCTTTTACCTAGTGCTTCTTTTTGCAAGTCATGGCATCTGGTTTGCAAGTTCATTTCCTGTTGTTTAGATATCTGAATCTGCTGAGACCTCAGTCTGGCCGCATCTGACAACAACTTCAGGTTTTTCATTTCCTCTTCAAGGCATACCTCATTTCTCTGGGACACTGCCAAACTTTTATTTAGTATCTTTATTTCTGTAAAGAAAATTCAAAATTACAAATAGACAACACTGAATCATAATACAATTTTCAAAAAAGTGATCCCTTTCTTTTAGAAAATTAAAATTAATAGTTGAAAGCCAAGATGACTTTTCTGAATGTAGTGACACCAAACCAAAAGGTTAAATTTAAACTTAGTGGTTATTCTGAAAAATAAATGTGCAAAAGAATTGCATTGCTAAACTATGCATCATACCTTTTAGGTTTTTTTTTTAACATTTTAAATTGTACTAAATGGCAATATGGCCTGCTTTTTAAATATTCACATAAATGAATAACATATCTGTGTAATGTTCTGGGTTTTGCTGAAATTAAATTGTTTTCTTGGCAACATGATTCAGAAAAGTAAATTTAAATGTGCTAGCATGAGCTGGCTGGATGGCATTTCTAGGAGAGTAAGTAGGATACAACTATACAAATTATAAAAAAAGGTAGTAGGAGTGGAGAAGAATAAAAGGATGCAGTGTCTAAAACTAATGAATTTATGGACATTAACTATTAGTTAATATAGCTTACTGCTTTTAACAATACTCTGTCTCCTCAAAACAAGATCATAATTTCATCATAGCAATCATTTGTCACAATTTTATCTAATTAGATTAATAAAAATAAGCCTTCACAGCATTATGTAGGTTTAAATATACTAATTTTATATAATTTCATGAGAAATGCATGAAGCATGTTATCCTTCAGAATGATCATTATCAAGCTCTCCCTGCATCGGCCTTTTTAGTATTGCTACCTTAAACCAAGGTATTAAAATATACAAACACACAATAAAGATAAAATTTTACAAAATTTGTGCAACCACAATTAATTGAAACGATGAACATGTGAAGATCTGGACAGCCTGCTTTTCCAGAAAGTTCGCTTGGCATTCTTTCCTTGCTTAGGTCATTTTGGGCTACATGATGGGTGTAGCATGTGATCAGATGTCAAAGGAAGTTGGCTTGGTGTATTGGTCGTAGAGCCAAAACAGCAAAGACAGCAGCCCCATGGGCCAGTGAAGACCAGAAGCAGAGATCAATAAGACGGACATGGCAGCAGAGGCAATAGGGCCAGCAAATGATCACAAGAGAAGTAAGCAGTGCTAGAACGGGGTGCAGAGGAGAGCGCATGTCTCAAAGGCTGGGGATGAGTAGGATCAGGAACGTGGTCCAAGGAAAGAGAAGCAAAATTTCTTTTTGTGGGGGAAACGTTTGTCCAGAAGGAAAAGTGGCATGTAGGACAGACCTAGGTCATGAGCACAAAGGATCTGGCACCTTCTTTAGTTTTAATTCCTGCTCAAAATAGAAAACCTGCATAAATAAATTGGCAGGAACCAAATAAATGGGGGTCTACCACGTTCCAATAATTACACAGAATAGTTTTCTTAAGGATAGTTACATGCCTCCAAAACCTTATGGATACACATCCATTTGTGTGAAAAAAACTAACACACTAGTACATAAAGCTTAAAAAAGAAAGGATGTTGTAATTTCTTTTCAGACCTAAAAAATCTCCCTGGGTATTTTTATAGCCATAAAGGTGGCTTCTTGAGACTGAATTAGCTGTACTGTACTCTCACCATATCTATCTATGTTGGAGTCAGAATGACACTGCAGAGGAGCTCATGCTGTCACCTATTTATCATTTGCCAGAATGGCACTGCTTAGGTTAGCAGGCTGACTCTTAGTGGACACTACTGTCTGTCTCTAAAAGGACTACTTGTGTCAACATGACTTTCTGTCTGAAATCAAAATAGGAACCTGCAATACAGATTCATTTGTCAAATATCTTCTAACACATGGAAAAGTACAGCAAGATTTCAAAACTAACAGGAGCTTCAGTGTTTCTAACAAGGAATTAAGAGAATGAACTCAAGGGAGATGAATTAACTCACCCACAGCAAACTACATATCCCTATAGCAATCTGCTGTCAAATATTCAGTCCTACCTTCATCATTAATACATTATGTTTGTCAGTCATGTGTCCCAATATGGGGTTCAGAAATTACGATCTCCATCAGACCAACCTATTCTGGTCATTGTTCCCACCTTGTGGTTTCCCTGTTTCAGCACCACTCATGAGAAGGTCCTCCTAACCTCAAACATCAAGCCTACCACAGTTCATGTGCTACCTGTCTGGAAATCTTTTCTGACCCAGTCTGGAAGTGGCTTTGATCTTCCTGAAACTCACACCAATGTATGTCATTTCTATCATATGCATATATGTGACTCCTATTGGACTATAAGTTATTTTAGGCCAGAGGTAATATCTTATTCATTTTTTTATTACCCCCATAATTTCTACCACAATATCCTAGAATTAATAGGAGCTCATTAAATACCTACCAAAGGAGTAAAGTCATGACTGAGCAAAGCTTCTAAATGGTTTCTAGTACTACAACTAGTCGAACATCCTGAATATGGACTTGCCTCGCTTCACCCTTCACTGCAGAGGCAAGCATTTGGAGCTCGAGATTATTTAATGGCAGACCAGCTGAGGTGGTAAATACACACATACAAAAGAAGGTAACATTTTTTTTTTTATTCTCACATGAGGACATTTTTTTGTTTTTTGTTCAGATAGAGTGGGAGGGAGAGAGAGGAAGAGAGAGAGAGAGAAACATCGACGTGAAAGGGACATATCGAGTGGCTGCCACCCACACGACCCAACCAGGGCCCGGGACAAACTGCAACTGAGGTACATGCCCTTAGCGAGAGCCGAACCCAGGTCTCTCTGGACTCCAGGCCGACGCTCCATCCGCTGAGTCAAACTGGCCAGGGTGAAGGTAACATTTTTAATAGGATAAATAAGCAAACAGGCCTAGTTACTAGTTAATCTCTAATTTCTAAGCCTAATTCAGGACCTGAACTTTTAAAGTTCAAGAGCTATTCTGCCCTAGTAAAATATTATCCTTTTCTGAAATTTCTTGTATTGAAATAGGTATGTTCTGTTTTAAGAAAAAATAATCTACGAACATTGAAACTTTAAAATATTGATTATATAAAGTGATATTCACTCATTAAAAGAGAAGGAAATGTTTCGTTCATATATACTATTCAACATTCAGCATACTTTGTCAGCCAGAAAATATTTAACAATGCCGTTTTCTACAAAAGTTCTGTTTTGGATTTTTATTTCAAAACCTAAATTTGTACCTGAATAATGTTATAGAATGTTTATGGGTTTACTATATTTATTAGTTTTCTATGGCTGCTATAACAAAGTACCACAGGCTGGTACTTAACCCTGGTGGCTTAATTCCACTACAACTTCACCCCACCCACCAGAACTGTCTGCCTGCTCTCTATGAGTCTGTCTGTATTTTGCTTGGTTGTTCAGTTTGTTCATTAAATTCCACATATGAGTGAAATCATATGGTACTTGTCTTTCTCTGACTGGCTTATTTCATTTAGCATAATGCTCTCCAGGTCCATCCATGCTGTCACAAAGAGTAAAATGGTCTTCCTTTTTATGGCAGAGTAGTTTTCCATTGTGTAAATGTACCAACAGCCTTCTTATCCACTCATTCTGCCAGGTGTTAGGTGATATCTCATTGTGGTTTTAATTTAGATTCCTCTGATGATTAATGACACAGCATTTTTTTATATGTCTATTGGGCATCTGCATGTCCTCTTCTCTCCCTGTGTTCTTCATCATCTTCCCTCTGTGTATGCCTTGTTTCCAAATTTCCTCTTCTTATAAGGACTCTAGTCACATTGGATTAGAGCTCACCCATTTAAATTTAATAATTAATTTTAGGACCCTAACTCCAAATAGAGTTGTACTGAAGAGAGACTAGAAGTTAGGACTTCAACATGTGAGTTAGGGAGGGGCACAATTCAGCCAATAACAGTATTTTTAGAATATTTATTGAAATTTACACTGTAATTATAGATATATAAAATAAGATGAACATGTGGAGAACTAGAAGATAAAATAGAAAAATGAAGACAATTGTGTTAGGGTACAGGAATTCAGAGTTTATTTTACCTCTTGTAAAGTGTTTCAAGTTTCTTCTTACACCAACTTTTCAACTGAAGAACTATGCCACTCAGAGTCAGCTTACAACATAAGGATATATCCGTGTAGATCACAGTACAGAAGCTGGTATTTTTTTTTAAGTGTTTGTTATATAAAATGTTTGTAATATTGGCAAAATGTATTGCCATGCTAGTGGTGATTTTAGTTTTTAGAATGTTACATAATTTGCTATCTAATGCAAGTACAATTATTAGTATTAATCTCATATAATCAATTTCTTTGCCTTGATAGAATTTTTTGTTGTCCTTAGTTCTGTACACTTAGGCAAATGAAATTAAAATTACGTTAAGGCCCTGGTCAGTTTTTCTCAGTGGTTAGTCAACCTGCAGACCTAAGAGTCACGGGTTCAATTCCCAGTCAAGGACATGTGCCTGGCCCCAGTTGGGGTGGTGTGCGAGGCAACCAATCAATATGTCTCTCTCACACTAATGTTTCTCTCTCCCCCTAACCCCCACTCCCTCCCATACTATCTAAAAATCAGTGGGAAAATATCCTCAGGTGAGGATTAACAGAAAATATAATAATAAAATTATGTTAGGTAATTATGTTTTTAGGAAACCTCTGCAACCTTAGTGCCAAGGCATAATGACGTTACAAACAGTGTGATCATAAATTCACATGTTATATAGTTTTATTACAGTAATATAAAAAATCAGAGACTAGATTTATTTAATAAAAAGGGATCATAAAGCACTAGGTAGATTTTTTTTTTCTTTATTGATTTGAGAGAGAGAGGAAAGGAGACAGAGAGAGAGATAGAAACATTGGTAAGAGGGAACATCAATTGGCTACCTCCTGCATGCCCCCCACTGGGGATTTGGCCCGTAACCTGGGCATGTGCCTTGACCAGGAATTGAACTAGCGACCTCTTAGTACATGAGTCTACACTCAACCACTGAGCCACACCAGCTAGGCTATCCTAGGTTGATTTTTTAAAACTTTTTAA